GGAGGTTAGAGGAAGGAACTGTAGTGGTCCCTTCTTCCTCAGAGTAAAACTTCTATTTTCCTTGTTGCTCTGGGTACTCGGAGGCTCAAGCCAAAATCAAGCTTAAATTATGGTAACTAAGAGGAATATCCAGTTTGAGCCATAATTTTATATTCCCATTTTAGTAATTTTGTTATTATATGTTCTACTGTAAACCATCAAATCCTTTTTGAATGAGGTTTGGTACAAGTTAAAAAACTAAACTCTCTCAGTCTTAGAGTATAATCATCAGCTTGGTATGAGGTGAAGTGACATAGAATTAGTGTCTATACATGGGTCAGCAAACATTTTCTGTAGAGTCCAGTAATAAATATTTTAGGCTTTAAGAGCCGTACAGACTCTGTTGCAACTACTCAACTCTACTGTTGCAAAACAAAAGCAGCAAAAGACAGCACGAAAACAAATGTACGGCTGTGTTCCAATAAAACTTTGTTCACAAGAACAGGCATTGGGCCGGATTTGGCCAGTGGGCCATAATTTGCTGACCCCTGGCAAGAAAATTGGTATGGTCTTTCACTTTTTGTATTTCTTCAAAAAACATTCCATGTAAAACTCCCAAGTTACAAAAACAAGAGCAATCTGAAACCATAAAAGTGACTCCAATTCCGTAGCTTTGCTAGCAGGTTGGCATTTGTTTTTCACATGGACTATATAATACGTTTAATTTAAAAATGTGAGGTTGACAGAAGTGGACAGAAAATTGCTAAACATGCACTACCCTTCAAGCATACATAAATAATTCTGATCCAATGATAAAATCTAATGAGTCAGAGTCTTTTGGACCACATACTACTTGGATGCTACCACGAAAATGAGTTAAAAACTTTTGGAAAACTTCTGCTCTCTTTTAGGCCACTATACTCTTCCATACTAAAGCACTGATTTACTAAATAGTACCTACATGCGAGGAAAGGGAATAATTGGTTGGTGCTTTTATCTTTTCCTTTAGAGAATTATATGTTCTTACAAATGCAGGGACATGAGATATATTTTTCCAGAGCAAGGGACTGAAAATCCATAAAAGTATATGTTTTACATTCTGCTAAGTTTTATAGGCCTGAATCTGTGAAGACAATTGTCCTCGATTGTCCTACTATTCTCAAAATCAGCTTAAAGATGAAATCCTTGTAAATATCTATACAGTTAAGTCTTAAATAGTGCAACAGCATTATAGCAAGCAGACTTTTGCATTGTTTTATTCCCAAAACTAACTCTAAATATTGCTATTCCTTGCATCAATAATCTATCTCTTAGGATGGTGTTCCCCAAACTGGGCTACACACCAGAATTATCTGTGCCCATTTTTAACATATAAATTTCTGGGCCCCACTCCCAGACTACTGAACGAGAAAAATATTGGCTGTGCTTTACTTTGTCTCCTCCCAGAATTCTGATGGGGATGACAAAGTGATTAAATTCTCACCACATACTATTGTGAAGTAAATATCATTATTGCCTTTAACAGATGAGAGAACTAGGGCTCAGAGAACTTAACTTGCTCAAGATCATATATCCACAGCCCTCTAGTCTTTCCTAGTAGAGCCACTAACTTCTGTTATATCACCAGAATGGAATTAACCAGAGGAAAAACATAATGCCCATATTCTAATTTAGGACCCCAGACTGCTTTACTTTTCCTTTCAATAAATGTTTACTAAATAAGTACTAGGAAAACTAAATACAATATAAAGCCCAATGTTACTCTACAAGAACAGATTATACTTACTAGTGGAATGTTGCCTGCCTGGCCCAGGACCCTTTTATTTTTTTCTAATTTTTATCCATTTCTGGCCTCAATAGGTTAAAAAAAAAAAGTCTCCCCGAACTGGAAAGAGGCCACCTGTGCTTCAAAGGGTGGCACAAAAGAGGTCAACAGATGTGACCGGGGCCAAGTCAGGAGAGGAGCAGGAAAGCAGGTGGATGGCACAGGTAGAACAGAAAAAATGCATTCTACATTTCTTTTCCTATGACCAAGAATGTATTTTATAAATGTGTCAAATTTGCACCTGGGCATTTAGTGACACTTGTGGGAGTATTTATTTTGTTTTTAATGTAATATTTTCTAATTTCAGGTTAGTAAACTGCAATGGTAAAGTGAAAGATAGGTGGAGTAGGTCTCCAGATTGTTCTGAATTGCTTCTACTTCTCCCAAGCTGCTCAACCTGGGGAGATTAAGTTTAAATGTGCCAATATAGCTTCATACTTTCTGCTGTTGTACATATAGTCAAATAAGCGCACGGTGAACTTGTGAAACTAAAGCAAAACAAATTCTACAAGAATCGAATCTCTAGAAAATATTTTCTGTAGTGAGTGCCTCAATTCAAACATAATTTGTAGATTAAATTTGTAGCCATAAAAAATAAGCTGCAATAAGAAAGCGGTGTTTTTTTAGGTTAGATAATCAAGGGAATGTTAGATTCCCGTCACAGAACTTTTTCATTTCAGGTATTGGATGCACATTGCTCTCATAGTGAAAACTACAAAATCAAATGAAAAACCAGAAATCAATTTTCCATACTCATGAAATTGTGAAATCGCTACCCTTTCTTCAAGCCTATCCAGGAATAATATCTTATTATACAGAGTAGAAGAATACAAAGAAAGAGGTAGGAAGCGGATGTTTTAAAAGGTGTGGGACTATGGGAAAAGGGAGCCAGACCAGCACTTATACTGACAAATTCTGGTGACACCATCTAGTTATCTTGTGCCACTGGGCCTAGCAACTGCTTTGGCTGCCAGATTCTATTGCCTTCAGGCTGTCTTTCACTTCTTTGATATTTGGAAGCTGCAAAGTAATCCTCCTCTTTCTTGTAAAACTGACCCAAGGACATCAAGGGAGAGAGGAGACATTCCCTGTGTTTTGCAACTGGAGAAAACAGAAGTTGAAATGCACAGATGATCCATGCTGCGGCTGTACACAGTCAGTAGCAGCACCAAGGAGGCAGAGGAATATAGGAATTTCAGACCATAGTGTTGTGTTATCAGGGCCGATGCTTTGCAGGACTCCAGGAGCACAGCTCACGTGGCACGCACGCGGTGGTGACACAGTCGACCGCCTGGCTCAGTGATAGGCTACAATATTTTATGGGATGAGAGGGAGACTAAACCTTTCATATCTTTCTTTAACACCCATAGCTATTCTGATAAACGGTTTTCTGACACTCATTTATGGATGTTCCAGAACTTTAGATTGGTCATTTTGTTTCTTACTTGAGGAAGATTAGGTCTAAGCTGACATCTGTGCCACCAATCTTCCTCTACTTTATATGTGGACTGCCGCCGCAGCATGGCTGACAAGTGGTGTATGTCTGTGCCCGGGGTCTGAACCCGCTAACCTGGGCCACCCAAGTGGAATGCATGGAACTTAACCACTACGCCATGGGGCTGACCCCAGATTGGTCCTTTCTAGTAGAACCAACCCCAATGAGGTTTGCAAAGTCTGTCTTCAGCCCTCCTCAATATTCTGGAGCTTTCACTTTCCCTTTCGTTTTTCTCATTTGCTTTCAGAAGCCCAGCACTCTAGATTTCCATGCTACCCCTATGGGGCATGGACCACCAAATGGATTCCTGGACGTGCCCTGCCTGGCCCATACTCTGCACATTTTAAAGACCTTTCTTTTCATCAAAGTGGATGTTTTGGGCTCTATTCCCTGGGAACTTTGCTAGCTAAGTTATAAGTTAATTAGTTGTTAGTTGTAAGCTACTAACTTTACTGCCAACATGGTAAAAAGTGAACATGGTAAAGGGTGATCACGGCTAAATGTCCCTCGAAAGCTCATTCATTCAGCAGCATTAACTAGCACTTTAAAGAGCAAGGGAGGCATTGCTAAATGAAGAAGCGCTATGAGGATGGCAAGACTGTCGAAATATTTAAATGAAAAATGAAAATTATTGTGACACCACGATCTGACTATCCTCTCCCAAAGGAAACCACTGAGATCAGCCTTTGATTCCAGTTGCTTTGCCTCTCCTCCCTTTTGCTAAATAGGAAAATAGACATATTGTGCAATCAGAAAGAGAAAAATCTAATTGGCTCGTGCTCATTGAGTGTTTCACATCCTTGTAGCTCTAATAATGATAGAGTAGTGCAGGACAAGGGGCCAAAAGAGAGACTGGGGCAGCAAGGAGGGGAAGAAGAAGCACACAGAAGTAAGAGCTGGAACACAAGGGTTCGAATCCTGCTCTTCCCTCACCCCGGGCTTAAGATATAGGGTGAGTTGCTCCCCTTCGAGAAGCCTCAGCATCCTCTTCTGGAATATGGTGGGGGGAGGGGAATTAATATTTCTTAAGCTTAGGGTACTCAGGGGGCTTCAGTGAGCATTAAATGAGGTCGTGAAGACAGAATACATCACATCCGTCCCTCAGTTAGTTGCTCAAGAAATGTTAGCTGTTACGTTATTGTCCTTTTTGACCCTATCATCTACTCAACTTTCTTTCCAAATAACTTGTTTAAAAACTTGCCTCTTATTTTTCCCTTCAAATGATAGAAATAAAGGTACTTGACTAGTAATGGCACGTGTGATAAATATCTATACTTCTTTCACATTGAGAGCCAATCTGTGAATCACATTTAAGCTGGCTCCTCGAAACAATTTCCAGCACATTCTACTTGCAGTCAGATGAAGTGGCAATTTTCTTAAAATACGGAGCCATTTGGTGCTGGGCAGAACATGTATTCAGGCTCATAAACATAAACATTTTTTATGCAGCATTTAAACATGAACTATGCAACTCCAAAATGCTACAAAAATATAAACAAAATCACTTCAGGAATAAAGATATATAGCTAAAGAAAAATTGTGAGGAAGTGGAAAAGGAGCCAAGTTTTCTACAATGCAAGAACGTTGATGATGGGTAAAAATTTGTTTCTGTGAATTTTTTTAGAGGCAGGTAGTAGCACATTCTCGAAATTGTTTAACATTATATGTCGAGGAACTTTAGTAATTACTTCTTATTCTGACCTTTTTCTAGCAGCCCCAGCCCAACACCAGCATCAAGTCTTTCTTCAGCGATGACAACCGTGTAGCGATGCTGAGTGAGAATGTGCTGGAGGAACCGAAGCTCCGCTTTGCTGTAGGAAGGAGGCCTGTAGAGTACGGCCCTTCTGCCATGGCTGCCAAAGTGTGTCTCAATTGATTCTTCGATCTGAAAAAAGAAAGAAGGCATAAAAATTCAAGAGGAAAAAAGTAGCGCATTTCCCCTGAAGGACATCATTCATGCAAATCAAGGGCCATTCAGAAAAGTAGTCTTTCAGTTTCCCTCCAGAAACGAAAGATAGATTCTCTGAAAGGCTGACAAGAACAAAGATGACCTCATATGCAAGAACTGAAGGTGAACTGAATTTTTCTTACTGTTACAGAAAGATGAAAATTTTAGGCCATTAAAATATAGAGCTCCTGAGGAATACCGCTGCGTAGAAATGTAGAGCTCTACTATGGCTGAAAATATAAATTAATAGCACTGCCTTTCATCTGCATTGTGCTTTTATAAAGTAGTTCCAGCTGCATTATCTTTTAATAGTTCCTTTAGGTAAACACGGTAGAGAAAACAGACTCAGAGAGGATGGCTTTTGTGCTGGAAGGACACGTTCGGGAAGGGTAGAGTTCAGAGGCAATCTCAGAGCTCTCTGGAGATACACAACGCTGCTGCTCCTCTCAAGTGGGACACAGCAAAATCTGAACGCATCTCAGTAAGGCAGGATGGCTCTTCATGTGAGAAGAGAACAAGCAAAGTATCAGAATTTTATGTGCTTCCTTCAATAGTTTATTGCTCCTCCAAATAAATATTTCTCTTTCTCACAACGATGTTTGAAATTCCATTAACAAAAGAGAATTTTTGAATTGACAAGTAGGAAGAAGCCTGACGTTTAAATTCATTACCAGGTTTAATGGCAGATACTGGGTGTTTTCCTCAAAACATGAGATTAAATCTTGATAAAGTAAAGATATTTTTTATCGCTGGAAAGGGCGATGAGATTGGATAGGGGTTAGGGCAACAAATGGGAAAGGCCAAAGAAGGGGAGACAAAAGAGTTGGAGGAGGAAGATGAGGCGAAAGAGGTAAAAAACAAAATCGGGAATCCAAATTACTTTTAGTGGCAGCTCTGAATCAGACTGTCCATTTCATGGATCTAAAACACAATAAGTACCATGTCTTTTCACTACTTAAATTTCTTCATTATTTCCCATTATTGATAGAATCAATTCCACATCGTTGTCAAGGAATACAAGACCATTCATACTTAGACCCTATCTTCCTTCTCTGGTGATATTACACTCTTAATCATTTCCATTCCTGGTCCTACCCTGCTCCTTCATACATATACCACTGTACCTTCCACCTATAATTCCTTCCTCTCTTTCCACTCATTCATCTAGCAAACTCCAAATCAAACATTACTCCTTTGGAAAGTTTTAAGTGAAATACATCCTTCCATTAGCACTTATGAGAAGAAATGTGCACCTGTCCCTGATGAGAGCTCCCTAACAGGCAGCCTGCATTGTCCGTGTGTCTCCAGCACACACAGCACATGCTTAATAAATGGAGGTATCTAGTGAATTAACAAGCCGTAGTGCTCTATCAAGATCCTTGAAGGCGTGTGTGGAAAGAAAGAAGCATAGATTTGGATTGTAAACCCTCTGAGGGCAGGAACCAATCCTATTTTTCATTGCATATAAATTATCGCTGTCTGAAAACGAATAGACAAAGCATAGTGTAGCGCAGGAAGACACAGACTCTGGAGCCAGACTGCTGGGTTTGAATTCCCTGGCTCCACCAGCTCTACGTGTGTGAGCTTAGACAATATCTTCCTCCTAAGGGTGCTGTGGGGATTAAAGAGTTAATATTTGTAAAGTGCTTAGAGCCGTGCCGGCATATACGAAGTACCGTATATGTGATTTTAAAATAATAATATATCATAAAGAGCAAAAAGTCAGGAAAACCATTTCTGAGTTAGAGCTCTGCCTGCACTTGCTAACACAGATGCTTATATGTGTGTGAGGAATATAATGGAAAGGAATAGAACACTAGTTAATCACACCTTCTGTGCATGGTATGTTGGGAAAACATGATTAGATATTTTCCATCGTTAAAAGATATTGCATTTCATTGATAATGAAACTATTTAAACTCAAGAATTTAACTGCAAATTGGGACCTGATTCCCTAGCACATGTTGTAATTGCTTGTAATGATAACTTATAAGAGGGAATATTTGAACCCAAATACAGGTTGAGCCTGTGGACAAGGAGTAGGAGAGAACCAGTAGCCCACAGGAGGCCAAAATAAACAAACATGCATCTAGGTGAAAGGGGAGGACAGATGCTTCCAAATATATCATTGTCACTCAAGCAAAACACACAGTGTCCAGAATTCCCGTCTCACATTATTTTCTTTCGTAATCACAGGATGTTCCTCTCTATTACAACTGGCTCCAGCAGGGCAGTGATTTCACAAGAGAGTGTATTTTCAAACTTTAAGTTATTATTATTTTGAAAGATACCATCCCTCCTTGCCCCTCAACTAGGATCAGTTTAAACAAGAGCAAGGTAGCTCTTACTAGTATATCTTATATGGAGCATATTCCAAATACAGCATAATTACTGGTCATATTTTGTAATAACCTTGACAACATAGACAAATTTTAACTCATGTCTCAGACTACAGAGAATAAATAGGAAATGAGCTTGTCAGTGAAATTATGTTGTATTATCCTGTAATACAAACTGCTCCTGTCCTTGTAATATTTATAACACACTGTATCAGCAGAATGGCTCAATACCAAGGGGCAACAACAGTTTTAGCTGGTCCAACAACAGGTGCACACACTGCGTATGTGAAATAAAAACTGTCCAAACAATTATGTCAACCGCACCAGCAATTGCGGGATTATCGAATGCCAACAGCAGCACTTTTGGAAATGAGAGCTCCTGATTACTCCTACAATTTCAAAGATATATTTTTAGTGGAAGAATACATTTGACCTGGCCACTGCTACAGTAACTAAACGAGACTTGCAGGCCTGTTGAGAAGAAGTTAGAAAAGAATGAGTGTCACAGGATGTTAATACTCTGAACCCCCGAATCACTTCCCTCTCTCCCTACTTCTTGAGAGACCTGCATAATACTTCCTCAGAAATCACTTTGCTAGACTGCATGAAAGTTGTTTTAAAACTGAACACTTATTGTTTTTACTGGAAGGACTTGAAAATCTGAAACCTTTATACCACCTTAGATAAAGCAAAGGATAGAGTGTTGTGATAAACTCTGTGGAGTATTAGACGCAGCAATGAAGAGTAAGAACAGAGGAGGACTGGGAATCAAAAATCTGGATTTGAATTCTGGCTCTACCATTTGTTTGCTTCATCCACTGGGGCAAGTTATTTAATCTCTCCTCATCAGTGTTTTCTCACATATCTAGTAACAAATCCTACCTCCTGAGGTTGTACTGGGAGTTACACAAATTTTCTATATGAAAGTGTCCAACACAGTACCCCACCAATAAAAAATGTTAAATATATATGAATAAAACTGAATAATAAGCAATATTATGTTCTAACTCTATTTTTATATTAGGAACTCTATAAGCTTTTCAATTAATATTGTTTGGGCTCTGTCATCGAAAACACTTCTACAATAAACTACATGCTTTCATATACCCTGATATATGTTTTTCTCTGTAGGACTCATCACCTTTAAACACAAAAATATAATTTACTTATTTATTGTGTTTATTGTCTGTCTCTCCACACCATAAAGGAAGGTAAATGAAAGCATATATTTTTGTCTATTTTGTTCACATTTGTTTCTCCAACCTAAGAATAGTAGTTGGCCCATAGTGTACACACAATAATACTTTGAATGAATGAATGCAAATATCTTTTTCTTCAATATGTAAAAGTCTTTGTTATAAATACTACTATGAGAGATTGGGAATAGAAAGTGGTGAAAATTTGTATCAAGAAATTTATTTCAGTAGAATTTTTAATAGTATCAAGAATAACAAAAATAGAGTTAAATATTTGGGCAAAAATAATGAATTTATAGTAAAAAAAAGTAAAGAGCTATATTACAAAAGAACTATATTTCTCAGTTACACTATTAAAAACTCTTCACCAAGACTTACCACAAAAGCAAGAAATACAGCTCTTTAAAATATAGTAGGGATGAAAAATAAAACTTGTTTTTTCCCACATGACAGAAAGATTTTTTTCTGGATTTATTAAGGTAGCCATGTACTTATGACATCTTTTGATGCTCAAATACAAATCATACAGTAGACCTCGGATGAGTGTCATATATAACTAAAAGTCAAATTGCCTTGCTGGTCTAGATTTTTGGCATTTTAGAAATATTGTAGAGTCTATCATAGTGAATTATGTTTTAATTTTTCCACTGTAAGAATAAAATAGAGAGATTTTTTCCATTGGTGAAATGTACACATTTCAGAGAATTCAAGAAATGAAATGGATGGAGTTTTCTAGGATGCATATCCTACACATTTCTACTTAAAAATTATTTAAAATTGCAAGACACTTTAGAGACCACAGGTTCCCTGGGTACACAAGCAGAGGCCCACGAGAATGTTCCCTACTTAAATGAACCTTTAGTGAACCTGCCTTCGTCTCACGGCTGACTCAACTGAATCTCCAGCCTGTCATGGAATGATCACACATTTCTCGGAACTGCTCCATGACACTGAACACCTTCTGATTGCACTCCCAAACTGTACCCTGTGGCTATCCCAATACTCAACATCCAATGAAAGGCAAGTTTGCTCATCTGTGGCTCTAAGTTCTAAACAAATAATAGAGGAAACAAAAACAATAAAGTCTCAATATAAAAAATGTATCCCCAATATAGCTTTAATGAAATGGCACCCACTTAAATAGCCATGGCCAAAACCCATCATCACCTGTTCCTCATTCTAATTTTCCCCTTGGCACTCTTCACAATTTATAGTCATATATTACTTGAGTAATACCTGCTGCTCCCACAAGTCTGTATGTTTCATGAAGGCCTAGACTTGTCTCCTTTGGTCATTGTTGTACATACAGCTTACTGACAGGTTCTAAATAAGAGGTAATAGGTGAATGAATAGGCAAACGAATGAATGCATAAATGCAAAGTATGAGTTCATTATTTGTAAA